ATCCTCACGGGTCATGAGTATTGACGATAACGATTATACGGCCTTTAAATGCATGGTGTGACGAAGATGAAGAAGGTTCCAAAAGGGCTGCTGGTAAAGACACCAAACGTTTTGAGATGCGGGAATGTAACTCTAGGCTATCAATCAGAGCAGACACCAGCGACATCCTTCTGAGTTCAAGGCCAACAGATACCGTTAGATGCGTGGTCAGCGTACAGTTAACTTCATGTGAGAGAGTGAGTTGGATCTTATGCCGCTTTTAGCAATATTCCAACAACATCACGGCGGGGGACCCTGAAATGGACTTCACACATTGTACACGTTGGGAATCGAACACGGGCCTTCAGCGTGACGAGCGAACGCTTTAACCACAAGACTATCCCACCGCCCCTAACTTCATGTGGTGTCCTCAGTACTTACATTATGCTTCACTCATATGTAAGGTCAAGCCATTTGTAATAATGTAATAACTGATTATCTATTGTCAAATAATCCATGAGCTGTAGGATATTTAGTACTTGATGAATAACATGTAAGTTATATAAAGCGTTATTCAGAAATCCGTTATAAATCAATTCTGGCTTTATGTGACGAAATACATTAACACATTAAAACATAAGGACATTGATAGTCGAAAGTGAAAACAAAACCTCGTGGCAATCCTGTTTTAATAATTCATAAAAAACAGCTAAATCCTTTGCTCATCAGGTCAAAATCTCATTTGACTACGACAATCTCCGTATCATCGTATAACATAAAAGGCAACTGAAACAAATGGGTGCCCTTTCATTGAGATCGGCAACTGTGTGCCACTGCCACATGAATAAAGAATAATCTCCCATGCATCTGACTGATGTAAGCAGGGGGAAATATACAATTTAGGAAACGAGCCAGTGTTGTTTACGTCACCATGGCATCAAACGATGATGTCACGGTACCTGATACTCCCATAAACTGACTTCCTTATTGTCAGCTTAAAGGTAACATCAACTATGCTCGTAAAGCAAAAGAAGTGCCCATTCCACATCTGCAAGTTGTGTGGCTGTTTTGTTTGTTAACAGAGGAGATTCATCTTCTCTTTAAATTCAGTTCTACATTCCCTTCATATTTTTCATTACATCCACTGCAAGTATTCAAGTAAATGACAGTTTAACACAATGTGTAACTATTGTATATTGGATTGAACATTCTTCAATTATATTCCTAAAAGGACGTCAAACGTTCCTTGTAGTTGTTGTTGTTGTTGTTTTTCGTGATAGATTTATGTTTGTCTATTCCCCTCTTCACCGGCTTACTTTGATTTAAAATAGAAAGGTCGAACCATGACACCAAGGTTTTCATTATTAGCATGGCATGGATATACTGGATATATTTTCTAACAAGGTTTCCTTCTCTTTTTTCCTTTATTAATAATAAGAAAAAGAAGAAGAAAAAGAAGAAGAAAAATGGGGAGCTCAGAGCTGAACGCTCGCAATAAAATACAAGCCACAAAAAGTCAAACTATACCCCTCCTTGAGCGAAACAAGAATTTCCGGGTACTGACATCCTCATGATCACACGTAGAATCATGTCAGACAGTGGATCCTACAACCCTCACTCAATCGCTTGTATTTACCAAGTACAGTGGGATGGCGTTGTGTGATTTGAAATGTGTACTTTTGCACATATTTTATTGTCTGATGATCCTCTTGTGAAGCATGTCAAGACTTTTGATGAAAACAAGGCATTCCACAGTTTTTGTCAAGGAGTCGAGGATGCATGCCGTAATCTCAATGGTGATTTAGTTGATGGTCTCGCACTGCTCGACGGTACAGAAATGAGGAGTGTCAACCAAGCGAGGTGATATATCAAACCAGCACATAGTCAGTGCTTCAAGGGAAGGCTTTCTGAACGACCACTGTACAGAGTTTATGTTCCACATGTTAAGAAGAAGCTTGTCGTAAGTGGCGACAAACGGGATCGGGTGGTCAGACTCGATGACTTGGTTGATGCATGTCATCGTATCTCAATTGCGTGGATCCAGGCTCATGATGTCAATCACTGGATTGTCTCGTCCAGACTCGATTTTTTACAAACCGCCGAATATTGCCGAGTGCGGCGTTAAACAACAAACAAACAGACATTGGGAGATGTATTCAGGATTTTCCTGTGGGATAGTGTACGGATAACATGTGATATGTATTCCATTACTTTGATAAGCGCGGCGCGGCGCTGAGTGCGGCGTTAAACAACCAAACAAACATTGGGAGATATATTCAGGATTTTCCTGTGGGATAGTGTACGGATAACATGTGATATGTATTCCATTACTTTGATAAGCGCGGCGCGGCGCTGAGTGCGGCGTTAAACAACCAAACAAACATTTGGAGATATATTCAGGATTTTCCTGTGGGATAGTGTACGGATAACATGTGATATGTATTCTATTACTTTGATAAGCGCGGTGCGGCGCTGAGTGCGGCGTTAAACAACAAACAAACATTGGGAGATATATTCAGGATTTTCCTGTGGGATAGTGTACGGATAACATGTGATATGTATTCTATTACTTTGATAAGCGCAGTGCGGCGCTGAGTGCGGCGTTACACAACAAACAAACAAACAAACAAACATTGGGAGATGTATTCAGGATTTTCCTGTGGCATAGTGTACGGATAACATGTGATATGTATTCCATTACTTTGATAAGCGCGGTGCGGCGCTGAGTGCGGCGTTAAACAACAAACAAACATTTGGAGATATATTCAGGATTTTCCTGTGGGATAGTGTACGGATAACATGTGATATGTATTCTATTACTTTGATAAGCGCAGTGCGGCGCTGAGTGCGGCGTTACACAACAAACAAACAAACAAACAAACATTGGGAGATGTATTCAGGATTTTCCTGTGGGATAGTGTACGGATAACATGTGATATGCATTCTATTACTTTGATAAGCGCGGCGCGGCGCTGAGTGCGGCGTTAAACAACAAACAAACAAACAAACATTGGGAGATGTATTCAGGATTTTCCTGTGGCATAGTGTACGGATAACATGTGACATGCATTCTATTACTTTGATAAGCGCGGCGCGGCGCGGCGCGGCGCTGAGTGCGACGTTAAACAACAAACAAACAAACAATTAATACTATCCGGTCATGATGAAAGAAATACAAATGCCACTTTTTGCGATACCCTTTCATGACACACTGATTGGAGAATATTTACGACCACAACGATCATATCTAGTCTCGCCTCAGAACGTCTAAATGAGTACTGTTTATATTAATGTATGTCGGCATTGGATGATTAACAGTGTACCTGGTTAGACAGTACACAATGAAATCTGAAACACATTTCCGAGACTACTCACAATCAGATCAAAGCGCCCATAGTTAAAGTGTCACTAATACGAGTGTATCACCTGATTATGTTTTTCTTTCATATGTCAACAGAGCGTAAATTACTCATGCTTTAAAACTACATTAACCATATGAACGCGACATTCACTGACCCACTTCAGATCCGTTAGCTTCTATTGTGAGTGAGTGAGTGAGTGAGTGAGTTGGGTTTAACGCCGCTTTTAACAGTATTACACTTATATTGCGGCGTGTCAGCTTAATGTGGGAGGAAAGCCCGAAGTGATGCAGGTCTCAGACGTTTACCACTTCGCTGAAACCCACGAGCACGGGTATGGTGCTGACAAACCTAGAAACATAATCGGGGCGAACCGGGATTCGAACCCACAATCATGGGTTTCTGGCGTGCCTAAGGGACGCAACTCTGCACAGCGAATCGCGGCGCTTTAGACGACTGGGCCATCCGCGCCCCCAGCTTCTATTGTGACTATACTATCCAAGTATATTTGAGAGTAACATGGGAAAAGTGAGTGAGTGAGTATGATTTTACGCCGCTTTTAGCAATATTCCAGCAACATCACGGCGGCGGACACCATAAATGGGCTTCACACATTGTACCCATGTCGGAATCGAACCCGGGTCTTCGTCGTGCTGGCGAACGCTTTAACCACTAGACTACCCGAGCGCCCCAGGTCGACTCCGTGTCTGGGTGGGTATCCACACTTGAACAGCGGCGTGGTATCTCAGTGGGCTAGCCATATAAATTACTGACTAGTACAAGCAGACAAACACACACATACACACATACACACATACACACACACACAATTGCATGCACGACGCTATATACTAGTGAGTGCAGTAATCTTGAACAAAACCTCTCCTCGTCACACTATTGGACTATTGCATACCGCTATATATATATATATATATACGCTAAAATAATATATAATAACTCCACATCCTCCTTTCTGAGGTATTACAGTAATTGATAAGCCTATAGTTACAAGACATGCATGTCGTTGGTTGGTTGGTTTGTTGTTTAACGCCGCACTCAGCAATATTCAAGCTATATGACAGCGATCTGTAAATAATCGAGTCTGGACCAGACAATCTACTGATTAATGATGAACAGAATAAAAATGTGCGTTTAATAATTTTTCCTTGCTTGAATGCTCGTAAACAAATCACAGCATCAAACAACAGGGAGATAACTCGTGGATGATTAAGTAATGTTGTCTTATTTGGATATTAAAATAAGGTAAAAGAACTCAGTTCAGGTATAAACCGAAAAGGACTTCTTTTTTTTATTCCCCCCAAAAATAATATGTAAACTTTTTGTACACTAAAATCAACACCATTGTATGTGTCATAATCTTAACTCGCTGGTAACTGCCGACTGAATATTGCTTGCAGCTTATTATATCCTGAGAAATGTTTTAGATTAATGTTTATATGATAACCCCCTATCGTCCCTCTTTTACATCCGTGTATAATATTATCCTAAAATTGAAATTGAATACGTTTGGGTGAGAGAAGAGGGCAGTGTGTTCACTCACGACAAATCCGTCATGCTTGAACTCGTGAAAAGTGCCCGGATGTTGTGTTGAAAGAGATCTGGTGAATCAACAGTTACACCACACACTGCATTAGTGGCAGACCCATGGCGAGGGCGGCTGACGGCTGCTCTTTCAGGCGAGTTAAAGCAGAATGCGGATCTGATTTGATACGTGATACTCAGGTAGGACATTTGTCTGATATTACCACATTTCAGTAAGTGTCACTTTGATGGTTTATCTAGTACACATGTAAATGTAGGACGACAAAATTCCAAACGAGTTTATATGAATATGTCAGTGTAGAGCGACGTATTCAAAATCTCGCGAGAAATATGAAGCGAAAATTAACAATTTACAATTAAATTGGAAGAGTGGATCAGTTAACCTGTACAGCCCGAACAATAGATCAGTTAACATGAACAGTGGGTCAGTTAGCCTGAACACTGAAACAGCTAACTGGAACAGTGGATCAGTTAAGCTGAACAGTTGAACAGTTAACCTGAACAGTGGAATTGTTAACCTGAACAGTGGAACAGTTAACCTGAAGAGTGGAACAGTTAAACTGAACAGTGGATCAGTTAACATAAACAGTGAAACAGTAACCTGAACAGTGGATCCGTTAACATAAACAGTGAGACAGTTAACCTGAACAGTGAAACAGCTAACCGGAACAGTGGATCAGTTAAGCTGAACAGTTGAACAGTTAACCTGAACAGTGGAATTGTTAACCTGAACAGTGGAACAGTTAACCTGAAGAGTGGAACAGTTAAACTGAACAGTGGATCAGTTTACATTAACAGTGAAACAGTAACCTATACAGTGGATCAGTTAACATAAACAGTGGACCAGTTAACCTGAACAGTGGAACAGTTAACCTGGTCAGCCCGAACAGTGGAACAGTTAACCTGAATTGTTAAATTGTTAATTTCCGCTTCATATTTCTCGCGTTGATGGACAATATTCAACATTGTGTTGGATCGTTAGGTTTACATCGTGCCTCTCGTACTTTACATATCCAAATCGGCAATGGTCGTAGTGTAGTGTTCGCACTATAGCACCAGCATTAAGCTTGTGTTTTATTCATCACACGAGGAGCTATGTTACAGTAACAGGATTACATTACACCTTGTTTATGTAGCCTCTTGGAAAAGAAATGTCGACTCGAGTGAGTAAAGGTACAATTCATGTGTGCAGACGTAGGATAGACTAATTCAAATCGAAAGTCACATGTGTGAATCTATTATGTTAGGTGTAATAAAATCGGGTGTGTCAACCAAACATTTCAATGTGACAGCCATGCTTTCGAATTTTTCGTGAGTATAGAAACGAACAACAAAACAAACTCGTTCTCAGCAATGAAAATTCAGCTATTTATAGAATTCTTGCTCAGCAGAGTATGAAAAGAAATGAGCATAACGCCTCACAAGTATAATCGTGGTTAGTGAAAGCTGTGTATGTTAGGGCACGTAACGTCGCGTAAATTTTGTAGAGATACTGCCTCGTGCAAAAAACAGGCTTAAACAGATAAAATACAGTCTTCAAATGAACTTCTCTGTTTGTGATACTGATTATAATATTTTGACGTAAAAATAACACAGACACTGCACAGTAAATAAGTACAAGTGAACTAAAAACCCTAAGCTACAGTTCATGAAAAAATCGGAATAGTAGCAGAATATAACTGAAAAAAATGAAACAGCTAAACTAAACAGCTGAATATTCTAAATAGTGTAACAGTTAACCTGAACAGCTAAACAACAGTGGAACGGTTATATTGAACAGCTAATGAAATCTACATGGAATAATTAACCTGAAGAGTGGATCAGTTGTACAGCCCGAACAATGGATCAGTTAACATGAACAGTGGATCAGTTAAGCCGAACAGTGGAACAGTTAACCTGAACAGTGGAATTGTTAACCTGAACAGTGGAACAGTTAACCAAAACAGTGAGACAGTTAACCTAAACAGTGAAATAGTTCACATGAACAGACGATCAGTTAACCTGAACAGTAAAACAGTTAACCTGAACAGTGGATCAGTTAACCTTAACAGTGGAACAGATGAACTGAACAGTGGATCAATTAACCTGAACAGTGGAACAGTTAACCTGAACAGTGCAACAGTTAAACTGAACAGTGGATCAGTTAACATGATTAGTAAATCAGTTAACCTGAACAGTGGGAGAGCTAAAATGACAAGTGGATCGGTTAATCTGAACAGTGGAACAGTTAATCTCCACAGACGATCAGTTAACCTGAGCAGTGAAACAGTTAACCTGAACAGTGGATCAGTTAACCTGAACAGTGGAACAGATAAACTGAACAGTGGAACAATTAACCTGAACAGTTGAACAGCTAACCTGAACAGTGAAACAGTTAAGCTGAACAGTTTATCAGTTAAGCTGAACAGTTGAACAGTTAACCGAACAGTGCAACAGTTAAACTGAACAGTGGATCAGTTATCATGAACAGTAAATCAGTTAACATGAACAGTGGGAGAGCTAAAATGAAAAGTGGATCGGTTAATCTGAACAGTGGAACACTTAACCTGAACAGTGGAACAGTTAACCTGAACAGTGAGACAGTTAAGCTGAAGAGTGGAACAATTAACCTGAACGGCTGAATAACATGGCTGAATAACAAAAACAGGATGACAATTAACAAAAACACTGGGAGAGTTAACCTGAACAGCCCGAACATTGGATCAGTTAACATGAACAGTGGATCAGTTCACCTGAACTGTGGAACGGTTAACCTGAACAGTAAAATAGTTAACCTGAAAAGCCTGAACAGTTGATCAGTTAACCCGAACAGTGGAAATGTTAACATGAACAGTGGGAGAGTTAACCTGAACAGTAAAACAGTTAACCAGAACAGTGGAACAGTAAATCTCAACAGACGATCAGTTAACCTGAGCAGTGAAACAGTTAACATGATTAGTAAATCAGTTAACCTGAACAGTGGGAGAGCTAAAATGACAAGTGGATCGGTTAATCTGAACAGTGGAACAGTTAATCTGAACAGACGATCAGTTTACCTGAGCAGTGGAACAGTTAACCTGAACAGTGGATCAGTTAACCTGAACAGTGGAACAGATAAACTGAACAGTGGAACAATTAACCTGAACAGTGGAACAGTTAACCTGAACAGTGAAACAGTTAAGCTGAACAGTTTATCAGTTAAGCAGAACAGTTGAACAGTTTACCCGAACAGTGCAACAGTTAAACTGAACAGTGGATCAGTTAACATGAACAGTAAATCAGTTAACATGAACAGTGGGAGAGCTAAAATCAAAAGTTGATCGGTTAATCTGAACAGTGGAACAGTTAACCTGAACAGTGGAACAGTTAATCTGAACAGTGAAACAGTTAACCTGAACAGTGGAACAATTAACCTGAACGGCTGAATAACATGGCTGAATAACAAAAACAGGATGACAATTAACAAAAAACACTGGGACAGTTAACCTGAACAGCCCGAACATTGGATCAGTTAACATGAACAGTGGATCAGTTCACCTGAACTGTGGAACAGTTAACCTTAACTGTGGAACAGTTAACCTGAACAGTGGAATAGTTAACCTGAAAAGCCTGAACAGTGGATCAGTTAACCCGAACAGTGGAAAAGTTCACCTGAACTGTGGAACGATTAACCTGAAGAGTGGATCAGTTAACCTCAACAGCCCAGACAGTGGATCAGTTAACATGAAGTGTGGAACAGTTAAACTTAACAGTGGAACAGTTAACATGAAGAGTGGATCAGTTAACCTGAACTGTGGAACTGTTAAACTTAACAGTGGAACTGTTAACCTGAACAGTGGAACATTTAACCTGAACAGTGGAACAGTTAACCTGAACAGTGGAATAGTTAGCCTGGACAGCCCAAACAGTGGACCAGTTAACTTCAACAGTGGAACAATTAGTCTGAACAGTTGAACAGTTAACCTGAACAGTGGAACAGTTTAACTGAACAGTGGAACAACTAGTCTGAGCAGTTGAACAGTTAACCTGAACAGTGCAACAGTTAAACTGAACAGTGGTTCAGTTAACATGAACAGTAAATCAGTTAACCCGAACAGTGGGAGAGCTAAAATGACAAGTGGATCGGTTAATCTGAACAGTGGAACAGTTAATCTGAACAGGCAATCAGTTTACCTGAGCAGTGAAACAGTTAACCTGAACAGTGGATCAGTTAACCTGAACAGTGGAACAGATAAACTGAACAGTGGAACAATTAACCTGAACAGTGGAACAGCTAACCTGAACAGTGAAACAGTTAAGCTGAACAGTTTATCAGTAAAGCTGAACAGTTGAACAGTTAACCGAACAGTGCAACAGTTAAACTGAACAGTGCATCAGTTAACATGAACAGTAAATCAGTTAACATGAACAGTGGGAGAGCTAAAATGAAAAGTGGATCAGTTAATCTGAACAGTGGAACACTTAACCTGAACAGTGGAACAGTTAACCTGAACAGTGAGACAGTTAACCTGAAGAGTGGAACAATTAACCTGAACGGCTGAATAACATGGCTGAATAACAAAAACAGGATGACAATTAACAAAAACACTGGGACAGTTAACCTGAACAGCCCGAACATTGGATCAGTTAACATGAACAGTGGATCAGTTAACCTGAACTGTGGAACGGTTAACCTGAACAGTGGAATAGTTAACCTGAAAAGCCTGAACAATTGATCCGTTAACCCGAACAGTGGAAATGTTAACCTGAACAGTGGAACAGTTAACTAAACAGTGAGGCATTTAACCTAAACAGTTAACTAGTTAACCTGAACAGACGATCAGTTAACCTGAACAGTAAAACAGTTAACCAGAACAGTGGAGCAGTTAATCTGAACAGACGATCAGTTAACCTGAGCAGTGAAACAGTTAACCTGAACAGTGGATCAGATAACCTGAACAGTGGAACAGATAAACTGAACAGTGGATCAATTAACCTGAACAGTGGAACAGTTAACCTGAACAGTAAAACAGTTAAGCTGAACAGTTAATCAGTTAACCCGAACAGTGCAACAGTTAAACTGAACAGTGGATCAGTTAACATGATTAGTAAATCAGTTAACCTGAACAGTGGGAGAGCTAAAATGACAAGTGGATCGGTTAATCTGAACAGTGGAACAGTTAATCTGAACAGACGATCAGTAAACCTGAGCAGTGAAACAT